TCCCTTTCCTTATCAGGAGGAATTTTGGGTTACACATCACTGGAAAAAAGGCAAGGACCTCAAGTCAAATTTATCTTGTAAATAGAAGTGATTTAAAGGCTGAGCATGCTTCGCTTTATGCTTCTCAGAGTGTACAAATACAAATTAATTAAAGGTTACTCCAGGCTGTATATCAAAACCTGTTTACCAAAATATTTCTGAGAATCTGTCTGAGGAAGGAGTGCAGCTGAATTCAATTTGAGAGTAAATAAGAAGTGTGTGTTTCAATCCTGGTATGGTCTCAAATGTGGCTTATACGTTTCACGTGAGGCCAGCTCATGACCTTACCGTCTGCCCTAAGGAACACATGACACAAAGAATAAACTGGAATGTGACCTCCTTGCTCTGGGGTAGTGGTAATTTATGTCTCCCTTTGTTGGGAAGTAGGGGTTTTTTTAATCTGTGACTAGTTTACTGGAGCAAAAAGGGAGGAAAGCAGTAGAACCCTCCCTCACATCACCTCCACTCCCCTCTTACTCCCCTGTGCATGGCGTATAGCATATATGAGTTGCTGCTGTTCTTTCTTCTGTGTCACTAGTGTCAGAGACTTTCTGCAGTCTCTGTGCTGCTATGCAGAACAGCCCCTGTGGCAGGCTTGAGTCCAAATTAGCTGCTGGTCCATCTCCTTTGCCTGCCACTAGGCTTTGGGAGCCAGCTTGGGGCAACCCTACTGATATTCCTAAAGAGATTACGTAGGGAGCTTTGTGCTTGAGTCCCCCTTAGCATTTAACTGTCCAACCTCTAACTATCTTGTTAGCCTCTGCAGTCATTCTGTTAGGCAAATGAAGTGATCATGCTTCCCAGTAGAAGAGGTGTAAGTACTATCTGCCTTAAAGGATGTGGAGTTTGTAGGATTCTCACCAAGTTCAACAAGACTGCATGGATACAGCAAATTTGACTGTGGCAATCTAGAATATCATAAAGCATGGCTAAGTCTTGATTTTGGTGTCATAAGCATGGTGTAAATTAGCCAAGACTGGAGTACCCCCAGTTTCATATAGTTGAGACATCTTACAGTGGAGGATAAATACATGTTTTCTTTTGTTGCATATAATAATGAATCTGAAATTAGAGCTTAATATTTAAAATTAATTGCTTCCCCTATAGAAATGTTCACAATGAGCAGTGTATTTTTGGATGCACTCCCTTCCTTCTAGTTCACGTGTTGGCTTATGGCTATGGTGTGGTCCAGAACAGGAAGAACAAAACTGTGGTCTGATTAAGCCTATGTAAAACCCTCATAATATAAGCCTAAATATGCAGTATGTTTGTGTGTGCAAAAGACTGCAAATGACATGCAAATGAAATATTGGATGGGCAGGTGAAGGACATTAATACTAAACACTAAAACAGGACAAAATACAGAATTGTACTCGACTTGTACACCCCTCCTCAAAACACTGGATATTTTTTTTGGAAACAGTTAATTTTGCTGACAGATATTTCATATTTCATATTCAGAAGGGAATGTAGATTGGCAAAATATCTTAGCTTTCAATACAGACAGATGAATAAAGGATAACCTTTAAAATCCCCATAGAATAAACTGTTGTGAAACAAAACAGACACATGGAGATACCATCTGCAAATTATTTGAATGTGCCGGGCTATAGAATACCATCCAGTCTGATATCAAATCATTTTTAAGCATGGTAAAATGGCGTATATACATCTGTCATATTAAAAAAGAGCAATGATTAGGCTTTTATTCTTATTTATGATCTCCCATAGCAGCTACTACCCCAGTATTTATACATTGAGCAGATCTGCAAGCAGTGGCACATGGTAGACTTCAAACAAAAACGTGCATCTTTCTGGCTGGAAGGTCTAGCTGGGGTTGCAGGTTTTTGTCTTTGCCTACTGGGAAAAATTTATTAGGAAAGTAGAAATATCGCCAGGACTGTCAGATATTAGAGTAAAGCCACGTAGCATTTTCTTTACCACTGATGTCCCCTTGGCCATGAATGTTTTCTCTCCAGTGCTCACATACCTAAGCCTTGCTTCTGTAAACTATGCAGGCCAAATGGATTGCAGTTATCTAGGTGAGTCATGGAAAGAGGGGTCACTACGGTAACTGTGGCCTAGGCAACTGATAAATCATACCCAGACTTTCATTTGGAAACAGAAGCGTGTTGAAAGTCAGCAAAGAGAACCTGTATTTTCATGTCCTGCACGGGAAGCAGGCTACTGTGCTCTGCAAAGACTGAAGCATACACATTCTTTCCTCCTTCAATGTATAATTCAGTGCAGAGCATTAGACAAGCTAACACTTTATTTTTTTTAAAAAAAGCCCAAGCACCTACCATGCACATTTAGCTGTGTGCATAGCAGATGTCAGAGAATCTGCACTACTTTGACAAACCTGAACAGATGCATCTGTAGGGTGATGGACTACTGGCTTAGCTTTTTCTTCAAAGTATTTTCCTCGTGCTATCAGCAACTGCTCTGTTCTGTTTGGATTTAGGGTAAATCAGCTGTTGCTTATCCCAGTTCTTCTATCTGCATCTTGACATGATGCAATGATAATTATATAGGAGGAAAATAAGACACATAGCTGAAGATTCTTCTTCTGTACAGATTTTGAAGAGGACAGCGGTAGCATCATTCCCTACAAGGGAATAATAAGTTGTAGTGAAACGAAGACAGCTATCGCTGCTCTTTGACTAAAATCATGCAATCCATGTGTGCCACACAACCAGTTCTCTGGTGACTGCTGGAGTGTTGTGCAAGGGTTCTGTTATTGTGAATGATGTGAGCATTGAATTCACCCTCCTGGCAGCTCTGGGCAGGCTGGGGCAGGATTAGCACAGGGAAGAGGGGTGTTGCTGTTTGGGCACCAGGAGATCAAGATTCAGTTCTCATCTTTGCTACAATCTCTACTTTTAATCTTGGACAAATCATTTAACTTCTCTGTGATTCAGTTCATGATATCTACACTATAAATTCATGTTTGTTAATAGACCCTTTTATTCTGCCAGAAAATGAAGCAAGTAAGATGTGACAACTAAGCAGGGCAACAAGCCATTCCAGAGGTTAAGGACATCTGGTCTCTGATATTTGTGTTTAACAAGAGATGTCCTGTATAATGATGACTCCTAGTGGAATGGTGTTTTAAGTGTTGCCAAAATGAATAAGGATAACCTATGTTCTGGCAGTCTCTTTTTCTTCCGCCTGGGTGTTCTCATGCTGAATGCAGTGGCAAACCCTTGGTGCCCATCTCCCTCCCTCCCTCCCAGTCTTTTCCTTCATACTTGACAAGTTCTATTTATACATCTTCTGATATGTTTAAGTTGTGGAGGGAGATGGATTTTCCATCACAACTGAACTAAAAGGAATTACAAAAGTTTTTTTCAGGGAAATAATTCGTCAACAGAACTTGCACTCTTCCAAATAGTGAACTGATAAATAATTAAGTGTCTTGATCAGATTAGACTACCCCATTTTCCCTCTCTATAAGTAAAAACACAGCAGTCAGAGAAGTCCCTTGGTCCAAGAACTAAAGGCATGTTTATGGCAAACTGTGGCTATTTCTGTCTGCTCAGTGATTTTCCTGGGAATGATAATTTGAGTATGGAGGGATAACTGATATAGTCTGCCACAGGAAGGCTTTGATCAAAGTCAATGGCAGTTTTCCCCAGAATTTGGATATTTTTTTATTGCTGAGAAAAGTGCCTGTGTTTTTTGGTTGATTTGCCAGCTCTGCCTGTCTTAAGGAGAAAATGATAATGCCCATTAGCGGTTTTAACCAGCAAAATGGGACAGGATTTTATCAATCCATGTCCAGTGTAGCCACTCCTTGTAGCATCTCACACTTTTCTGTCTTTTTCTTTTAATCTTTGGTCATTTTATCCCATCCTTTGATTTCTTATTCATCCTTTGGGCACTAGTTCACCCAGATCAACATCCTCATTATTTTGTAGGTTTTGCTAGATTTCTTCTGAGAGGATTATTCCCAAGGAAGATATTTGTTCCCTTTAAAGTCTTTTGAAGTGCTTAACTTCCATAATTCTTTTCTTAATCAGTAATTTTTTAAAAAATTCAACATTTTTCTGTCTTAGGAAAAAATTCATTTCAATAACCATGTAATTATTAAACTTCATTTTGAAAAAGTCATATAACTGCAAGGTTTTTGGATTGTGTCAGATGTTTGCATATTTGGTTGCTCATCTGTTCACCAGATTCTGGTGGTATTGGCTCATTCATGCAAATAGGGACTGCAGGAGCAAATCTCCAACTGAGGAAAAACAAAGGTTTCTGTCTTCTACCTCCCCAGCAAGTTCCAAAATGCACACGAGATTAAAAAAATCTCAATATTTAAATTATGTATTCTAAGTTAGATTCCTTTTTACCAGAAAGTGCACTAGGCTTCCAAAAACTGCACATAGACAAAAAAAGCTGCCACCCCTCGAGATCTGTGCTTCTATACAACAAACTGGTTTTGGTATCTCTGCTACCCAGGTAGAGTTGGATAAGTGGCACGTTCTGAGGCTGTGAAAGGTTAGTAGTGGCCCTGAAGTATGGAAGCAGATCAAGGGAGCTGGACAAAAAGCATCACAGCTATGGTTACTGTTACAAGGGTAAACCTCCAAGAAAGTTCACCAAGGAGCAGTGTGCACGATTGCAGGAGATTTGATTTCAGTACTTGCAGGCATAGCTGTGACTGGTTTTTGTCTCAATAGTTTCTGTAATGATAGCTGTGAAGGACATTAGGCTCCAGCATGGCTTAGCAAGATGCCCAGGGAACTGAACCACCCATGATGATGCCCATGTGGGATTGGCATCCATGTTAGCTAATTCAGGTAAATCTGTCTGTGCTGTAGTTGTTCCTTTTCGCTGTAGTACAAACTTCTGAAGCATGGAAAGAAAAGGGCTGCTAGCTAGGGCCAGTAATATCCTAATAGAAGTCTTACCACTTACCTTCACCATTTCATCTAATTTGCTTTGCATATGTGTTTTTGCAGATAAACCAGACCCACCTGCCGGAACACCTTGCGCATCGGACATACGGAGTTCCTCCCTCACTCTCTCGTGGTACGGTTCCTCTTATGATGGTGGAAGTGCGGTGCAGTCCTACACTGTGGAGATCTGGAACTCAGTGGATAACAAATGGACAGATCTCACAACCTGCCGCAGCACCTCTTTCAACGTGCAAGACCTTCAGGCTGACCGGGAGTACAAATTCCGTGTGCGAGCTGCTAACGTTTATGGCATCAGCGAGCCCAGTCAAGAATCTGACCTGGTAAAAGTTGGAGAGAAACAAGAAGGTTAGTTTTTAAGAGAAAAAAAAAAAAAAAAAAAAAAAATCTAAGTTAAATTAAATGCTAACTGTTCCCCAGTGAGGTCAGGCAGCTCTACACACCCCTTCACATCCCTCTGTGCAATGAATGCTTATGCTGGCTGTAAGTGTGCTGAAGTCCCTTCACAGACTTCATGTGGGTGTCTGAGCATATAAATTGTGCATGCATCCAGTGTGGAAACTTGGCTTTAGGGATCTCAAACCCCTACCTTGTGAAATCAACCAATAATTCAACGTCTGGTTTGCCATGTGAGTGCTGGCTGACAGACTGGTGTAGTTCAGTGCACAGGTAATGGGAGGTGAAACTTTTCACACATAAGTTACACATTCAGACCATGCGCAGTTGGAAAATGATGTTTGGTGGCTTACCTGAAACTTACTGATGGATTCATTTCAGTTTATACTGGACACACTGTGGAAAAACAAGCTATGAACACTATCTAATTTTGCTTTTGGAAAAAGTAAATGGGCTTGCTGCTGGCCAAGCACTGGATATGCAGCAGAAACTGAATTAGCCTCTCGTAGCTAGGTGTAGTTCCCATGCTTCAAATCCCAGCATGGTGGAGCACCTCAGTCCTGTTACCCCTAATACATTGATCTGGTAATTTCAAGGCTATTCTGCTTAGCATGTTGGTTTTGCAGCATTATGGGTGTTAAAAATACTTTTAAGGGTTTTTGGTTACAGTTGCACATACTTGTAAAAATATTTCTCAGTGTCTTTTGCCTCTTATTTTTTGCTTAAGATCTTCCCAAAAGACTAATGGGAAGAGCTGGAGCATTTTAGAAATTATTTGGCAACTAGTAAAAAAATTTAAACACACATAAAAATCAAAATTATTTTTTAAAACCAGATATTGAATGTGTATTTTTGTGCACACCCACATCTACCTACTGTGCAAGGATCATACCACAATGAAAAGCCCAGACTAAGAATAATGTATTTTGCCATTTTTCCTGTCTTTGAGGAGTGGACTGTGTGTTGTATCTCTCCCTCCTTACTTATTATATACAGGGCTTTGGATTTTTTAAGTGTCTTATATAATCCTTGTGATGTTATCTTTTATTGTCACAGCAAAGTGGTGCAGCGTCGCACAACTCTCAACAGGCATTTCCAAACAAAAGTAAATCATACTTCTCTTCAAGTGCTAAATAGCATGCATTCTGAGAAATTACTTTCTTCTATTTTAAAGATTTAAAACCTGATCTAAATTAAGATGCAGCTTCTCTTCAAAGGGTGGAAAATAACATTAAGAGTAGCAATAAAATTGAAAGGAAGCTGGACGGTACTGTCTCTTCATGATAAAATTCCCTGTGTTTGAATGCTCTCTTTCTTTAGATGCAGGATGAATCCCTTCTAGAGTTGGGAGACCTGTCTCTTCCCTACATTTGTTTATCCTAGAGCAAGCACTACTCGTACTGGACCAAAGCAAACAAGCTATTTTTCTTTTTAAGACTGAGAGTTTTTTTACATAGATTTAATAGAAAATAGCTAGAAAGCATATGAATCATTGTGATACACAGAAAAAACAACAAAAAAGTTGTTTTGAGTGAGAAAAAAATGTATTCTGTTTGCAGGAGGGTGGGTTGTCTTGGTGCTCTCAATGCCAGTGTTTCTTGATTTGAATTCTTGATACTGCAGCTAGTGTAGAGAAAGGGCAAGTTATACAAAGCATGATTTTTGAAGTGTATGAATATAACTGGTGCTTTAATTAAAAGCAGTGGAAAATGCATGTGTTCAGCACCTCTCAAAGTCAGGACTTAAAGCTGCCATCTATATAAACACTTAGCTGAGTAACTGGGGATTTTCCGTTGGTGCCAGGAAGACTGATTACTGATTTTCATACTGAGGTGGCCAGTGCATATTAGCGATCTTAATATTATCTTAGTGAAGAAAGGCATGGCTAACTTTTCACTGTGCATTTAAAGAAAACAGCTACTAAAATCAGGTTGAAGGTCACAACAGATTAAAGTAGACATTGCCATGTTTGAGGAAAATTTAGTTCCGTTGACTCACTTCTGAGAAAGGCTTTAGCACATCTACTCAGCACTTACCAAGCTCAGATATGTTCCAGTTATCTAATTTAGGCTTCCACTGATGGACCAAAATGTTTCTAGTTCATGGCTTCAATATAGTGTCGCCGCAGAACAGGGAACTGACTTCTTTGTCTAATCAGTATTTGGCAGACGTTAACTACTGGCAGCGTGGTTGGGATCAGCTCCCTTATGCAGCCCTTAAAAGGGGAGGAAAATGTGATGTGCTCTATGCAAGTGTGGTTTCTAGCTGAGGAAGATCTGAGGACAGCTATCCCTGAGTGGGGAGGGCTTGCTTCCCTCTCTGCTCTTCTGGTAAATGCTGCAAACCAGCTAGTCTGTGCTGGGACATACAAGGGTTGCAAATACAGATAAAAGAGAGAAGGGTTTTAGTGACAGATTATATCAACTTGATTGGCTTTGCTACCAGAATACAGATGCAGCATTGTCTTGGATGTGAAAAGGTGATGCCCATGCCTCAGACCAGCTACCTGCTCACCCTGCACTCTTTTTTTCTGTTGCTTTCTTCTCATCCACTGCATAGAACTCTATGATCTAAAGCACCTAACAGCGTCCAGAGTGCTGCATTAATGTTTCATAACATAAATCTGTTGACACAGTGGAGATAAATCACTTGGTTAGTCTTGCACTTTATGATGGCAAAGTGCAGCTTCAGCAGCTAAAGACAGAATCGTACAGGTCGCTGTGCAACTGCCTTTGCAGTTTCTCAAATTGCTGGTCATAGCCACAGGTCTTAGGAGAAGGCCCAAGCAGTGTAAGTGATATATAACAACATTCCAGCTACAGCTCCTTTCCCCTCATACCTGCAAGCAAGATAGGGAACAACACACAAACTGGTGCTACCGACCATTCATCCACATGAAAATTAAAAATGAAAATCAAGACACTCAGGCCAGCTTTTACTCTGTCTTACATCACTGGGCTTGCCAACATCTCTGCCTGCCTTTTAGTATGTCTGCAGAACTGAGGCTCCATTTGGGCCTCAATGATTTCAAAATTCAGCCATGCTCAGGAAGATGTGTGCTGTCCAAATTTTCTAGTCATCTTGAGTCTGAAAATTTTCTCTGGATGCTTTTCAGGCAATATTTTCTTGTACAAACTTGCTTTCCTTTTGGCTTTGCAATTCAAAAAATGCATAAAAAAGCCAGAAAAGGATTTGTCATTGAACCAGAAGTGTTGTTACTGATTTTAATATTTTTAAATTATTTTCTATTTCACTAAGGCATTCCTAAAGCCTATTTATGAGATTGCTTTGAACTGGTTCAGTATGCTGATGTTTCTAGTAGGCAGGTATAATAGACAAGTACTGCAAAACACATGAACTTGATTTACTAAGAAATGGTGACCAGGTGGTGATTGTGTAGTCAGTCATCACACCAAAGTGGTGAGGTGACTTTAGTTATGAAGTTAATGTGCAAACTCCCTGACTGCTTTTTGCTGCTTAGCCATAGGGTCTACCAGTTGCCCATGTTACTGTGAATAATTTGACTATCTTATTTAAGTACTGTATCCTGCATAATGTTATTAATGTCTTTTTTATTTTCATTATAGAACTCAAAGAGGATGAAGCGGAGCTATCTGATGATGGTAAGAAGTTCATTTTTTAATCAGGACAAATGCAAATCTGTGTTTTTAATTAATGTTTTATGGAGGTTTTAATCATGGTCCTTAATACTTATTTGTAGAAGGGAAAGAAACAGAGGTCGACTATCGGACAGTTACTATCAACACTGAACAAAAAGTTTCAGATGTCTATAATATTGAAGAAAGACTGGGATCGTAAGTACTATATTGTGCTTTTGAAGACACGGAGTTTTCAAGGCTACCAGTCAATTATAAAGATTGTGTGCATTCATTCTTTGACAGTGTCTTATGCTTTCAACATTCCAGCTGGGCTCGTCTGGTGCAGTAAAAATAGATTTTATCATGTATTGGCCTCCACTCCATAAAGATCCTTTATTCCTATTAAATGATAATTTAAAATAGGCACTACATGCATTTCTGGCAAGGAGGATGGAGCCCACAAATGAATAAAGCTAGAGGATTCATTTGTTGTTCAGTGTTCTGAAAGCTAGATGAAAAAAAATGTACACATTGTGTACTTGCATTTCCATTATCTCCATTAGCGGTAATAAGATTATCCTGCCCACGGGCTAGAATCTCTGTTGACAGCAGCCATAATCCCAAGAGCATTAATAGTATTGCTGAGTGAAGGTCAGTGATTAGCCTGGCTGTGCTTCTCAGTGCTCAAACTCATGGTTATGTGAATTGCATGCCACGATAATCTTCCAGCAATTTGTGCTGCTGGTGGTGCTGAAGGCCAGGGGATCCTGTATGGTGCCAGTAACAAATCTTGAGAAGTGTATCGTAGAGTTGTACATACACAGCAATGTGAAAGCATAGTACTGAAGCCTCTAGCATTCAGACTCTGATTTCACCTATAGCCTATACCTGAGATGTCTCCTATATGCTGTCCTTTCAGAGGTGTATGACCTATAGAAAACTGGGTGCAGCAAAACTTGAGTCACATTAATGAAAGCCTAGTAGGAGTCAATTTTTTTAAACCTCTTATATAAAACTTGCTAATTGGAATAGCGGAGTGTCTCTAAATGTGATATTCATGCAAAAGTGCTTGCAGATTACTCTGCACAAAATCAGCACAGAACAATACTTGATATAAAGACATTCTTATTTCAGAATGGAGTGGTTGCACTGGAATATTTAGTAAAATGTTGCTATTCATGGTGGCTCATAAATTGCAAAAAACGTTTTAAGGAAATAGTTATATATTTTCAGGGGGAAATTTGGACAAGTCTTTAGGCTTGTTGAAAAGAAGACTGGAAAAGTTTGGGCAGGAAAGTTTTTCAAAGCATATTCTGCTAAGGAAAAAGAAAACATAAGGGATGAAATCAGCATCATGAACTGTCTACACCATCCAAAACTTGTCCAATGTGTAGATGCCTTTGAAGAAAAAGCCAACATCGTTATGGTCTTGGAAATGTAAGTATAAAGCAGATCACACTAACAAAGCTAATAATGTTGAAAATAATTGTGGATACAAAAGTAGCAACTTACCTAGACATGGGACTGTCAAAAGCTTCAGCATCTGCAGGGCATGGATGGTTTTCACATCTTGCAAGTTTTTTCACTTATTTATCCAATTTTTTAAACAGTGGAAGTGAATCTGTGTTGTATCTCTCAAAAATCTGTGATGAAGATGTGTTATAGTCTATATTGTCTAGTTTGTTTGGTTTTTAATCAAGTACCTGGGGTGTTTTTCTGTGGTTTACTCTTTTATTGCCAACTTGGGAGGGGAGAGAAAAAAAGGTAGCTGCAATTTGTGCTGGCATTTAGAACCAAAAACATGTTTAAGGAAGAGATTTTTTTTTCTTTAGGCAGTTCTAAACGTATTGAAGAAGCATGTGCCAAATTTCATTTAAATGAAATGACAACACGGAACAATTGTCTCTTGCAGAGAATTGAATGTTGGTGCACAACAGATAGTGGGAGAGAGAGATATGCTTGAGAATACAAACATCTAAGCTACATTCTAACAAAATAGTTGAAACCCAGGCAAATTTAAAATACTCAAGAGGTATTTGGAACACTGTAGTTTTCATCAAGTACTACATCCAGGTTTTATATTTTTAAGAATCCTTAAAGGATTAGTCTGATGTGTTTTTCCTGCAACAACATAAATACTCAATAAATACTCAAGAGCAACACATTTATTTATAATCAGGGTATAATAAGTGCTGCCTGAAATATCTCCACAGGTGAAAACAGTGTATGTTCTAAATCTATAACAGTAGATGGAGAAAGATTGGTTACACTGTCTGTTTCCCCCCAAAAAACCTAATTAAACATTAATTGATCTGCCCCTAATGTCAATACACGGATTCTCCATGATGTTCCAGGTGTAGCAGTTGTAGAAGGAAATTTCTCCTTTACTGAAAGTCTTTGCACTCTTCATCCAAAGATTAAGTAAAGCTGAATTTGAACACAGTCTATATTGCTGTCTTGATCTTGCTGAGTAAGATAGCAACACTTATTTTTACTTCCCAGAAATCGTTTGCCTTGAGCTACTTATGCCACAACACTGTGGGAAGAAACAAAAGCACCACAAAAGCAGTGTTGTAAAGCATTGCACAGGGCTGTGACTTGGGATTCTCTGTGTTTCAAGATAGTAGATATTTACTTCCACAAAAAAGAAAGCTCAGAACATGTTCAGGCACCAGAATTCATTATAAGAAAAGAATTTGCACAGCATAGGATGGAAAGTAATGGTCAGACTTCAAAAACAATAATGGCCAACGTGAGCAACGTTTACATCATCCATAACGCACCTGCTTAGTGTGAATCCCATACTTGTGGCAGTAGCAGCTGGAAAGAAAATGAAATCCTGATCTATGCTGATGTTTTTCACAAAAAGTTTCATCAGTCACTGTTCTGCTGCCACATCTACTTCATGTGCTGTCTGCTGCAAGGAGAAGCAGGTTTTTTGCTGGCTGGAAGCACTGAGTAAGATATAAATTGTTAGAAGCAAAAGAGCCTATATGTCTCTTTTGCTTGCTTGGCACTTGCCTAGATTTATGTGCAAACTACTATTGCACTAGCATATTTCAGAGACTGGATCTCCATTATACAACCTTGGAACTTACGTGCAAGAAGGTGTTGTTATTTTTAGTTCCAGCAGTTGAGCAAGCTGATGACAGTAAGGGAAGGGAGCCCTACTTAGCTTGGAATTGAGAGCTGGCAGGCTAAATGGAAAACGAGGAAATGTATAAAGAGTTTTGAATAGCATATGGCTTTACACTCCATTAGTTCCTCCCTGCCAACAAAGGTGTTTTACTTTTTAAAAATATAGAAAAGTACTATCAAATTTAAAGTAGTTTTGTTAACCAGTTTAATTAGGATGTGATTTTATTTTGGGGTGGCCACCTTTTCTGGCTTTTGAAACCCCACACTGAAATCCTCATAGTTTCGAGATCCAGAGGAAGAGGGGTTCTTAAAACATCACTCAGGCAGGCAGTAGCAGCCTGTCCCTGCTCTGAAGCAGGCTGGGCAGTGAGATGCTTGTGTGACACCTTCATGTCAGATGACTTGGTAGCCTCCATACCATCATGTTACCCAGCGGAGACAGTCCCAGCATGGCAACCGCACCTGTATTATTAGACAGCCACTGGTGGATCATTTCTGGTTTAGCCATTAAGCTCGTATTTCTTTGCCTATCAAAGAAGTTGTGGGAAATACCTTCAATTCTTAGTATCCAAGATGTTCTCTTTATTCCCATTGGAGTCTAAGTGTGTGGATTTCAAATAAATGGAGCTGTCCTGCCATCAGTCTCCTTTTAAACTAGATTTTAGCAGTAACTGAAATTTAGCAGCTCCCCTTCCACTTAAATGGGAGCTATTGATGAGCAGCACTTTTGGATTTTTCTTCCTGATATTAATCCTAAATTTTTCATTTTGATTTTATTCCCATATCTTTCTTACAACTTTTGGAACTTCACTCTTAATATTTGTCATGCCACTATTTTATATGGTTTGATTTCATATTTAAAATAAATTAAGATTTTTTTTCATTCATTTAAAATCAAACACTGTAATGATTCAAATAATTTAATGTGCTTTTCCCTGAAAACCCTCCCATCTACCATTTGCTGGAAGTTAGTGGCAAATCTCAGGCATTTCCTTTTCAAATATAGCGAGGTACTTGTTCCACAATAAGCAGCTCAATGGAAAAAGAATATCCGAAAAACAGGAGCATGTTGTGAACGGCATTCAGCGTTGGGAGCTAAGTGCCTTGAAGTTTTTATTTACTTCAGATAGTCAGTCTATTCTGACGTATATCAGAAGAAGATTATTGTATTTCAAATTAAGATTATGAAAGCAAAATTTCAGCAGTAAACTTCATTCATTTTGTGTGGCTTAAGTCAGCACATGTCACTAAGGTTTTACCTTTTTTTCAAAGGGAGATTTATTAACATGCAGTTGAGTATTTGCTTGGGCAAGTCCAAGGTAGATTCTTCTCATTGTTCCTCCATTACCAAAACCTGAATAAAATATTTTTACAATGCGTACTCTGTGAATCTATAGACAGGAATATTTTCCTCTGTGACCTCATCTAGAGAAGACTGAAAAGAGGAGAATCCAGAAAATAATGAGAGATTTAGATTCTGAACTAGTTGTGACTGTGTGAAGAAAGCCAACTTCTCCTTCTGCATATACATAGAACCTAATCTGCATTGGTTCAATTTGGCTTCCTAAACTGCCAAAAATTAAACTGGATTTGGCTCAGGATATAAATGCAAAAATATGCTTTCTATAAATGCAATTCCAAAATCATCTAATGATGTTACTGGAGTGTCTAGAGGTCCCAGGCAGGGTAAAAACAGGATGCAGATGTATTAACAGTAGTTAATTTCCAAATAATATGCTAAAAAGTGGTGCTTGAGACAGTGGTATGATTCCTGAAAATTTTTCACTCTAGGGATCTGAAAAGTATGGCACTTTTACAGTAAAAATAAGTCATCATTGTCTGTGTTAAATAGTCAAAAAACAACTGGTACTTTTTAGTATCAGGATGTTTATCATTTGGAATTGCAGAGTGCTTCATATATAAACATTTTGCATGCAGATGTTTTCATAAACACCTCCAATACTGGTTAGTGTCTTACTGAAGTAACAAAATACTAGATCCCAAATTTATCAGAGCTGTTTATTCTACAGCTCTAGCCATATTATTGGCTTTATGTTACGAATGTGTTATAATCCAACATAAGCTCTCAGTTTGTCAAGGGTATGAAATTCTTACTATTTTCATGTTAATAGGAAACTGCAGTAGCATTTCTAATTATATACTTTCTGAAATCTTATAGACAGAGCAACAAATGTGTCCAGAACTCCAGATGTTTGAATTTCAGTTTAGCATTCAAGGGATATAATCATATATCTGACATCCTGCAAACACTGCAAGGCCAGTTTTCAGTTGAGTGTTTTCTGTCTGTAACTGAAATGTGCAACTACATTTGGTGATAAGCATGAATGCTGCAAAATATTAAGCCATATAAAGACCATGGAGCATTTAATTTAGAACAGATTTCTAAAAGCAAAGCTGCTCTCCGCCATTTGCTCTGCTCTTTATGGGTTGTTCACTCACCACACACAAAAACAGTATTTCCCATCTTTGGACATAAGCAGATAAACCATTTCAGTGATTACTAAAAATAAAAAAAAAACCCAAACAAAACCAACACCTACCCCCTCCTCCCCCCACCAAAAAAACCCTAAAACCCCAACTCAAACCACAAAACCCAAACAAACCAAAAAACCCAAACCACAACTTAAATTTTGCTTTATTAAATCTAGGTTAAAAATATCCCACTTTAGTTCCACAAGCAGCTCAATCCAGAAGATTCTACCCTGGAAAGACTAATTATTTTGCATCTTAAATAAGCATAAAAATGGAATTGACCTACAAGGAGTGTGATGATGGCTCAGCTAAAAATACCAGCACTGAAAGAGTTGTGGGTTACATCCTTGTCCTGTCACAGCTAAGGAGGAAATTCCCTCTGAGCTCACTTGAGTCAGTAATTTACCCTTTGAGCTTTGCATTCCAATCAGCCGTATCATTTGAGTTCTTCCTTCTTCAGCCTTACTTTCTCACTCTCAGTCTTTTTCCCAAATTTTTGCTGATCTGCTAGGCTTGTTCTCTTTTCCTGAGACCCATCCCATGTATTTTAGTTTTCTTTATTTCTAAATTACGTTCTTTGCACTTGTGTAGTGGTGGAGCATAGGAGGGAAGGAAGCAGCAACAAACATGAGCTCAGAGTGGTGTTATAAACACACATCAGCAGGGTGACAGTCACATGGCACACATGCTTTACTGCCAGGTGCAGGTGACTGAATCCTAAAGGCAGGATGTAAATCCAGCTACATCCCCACCCCCTGGGATAACAGTATGAGTGTTTCACAGTCCTAACCTGGGAAAGAGATTCAGAATGGAAAAATCTATTGATTTATACCACATACAAAAGCTGATTCTACCTATGTGATCCTTGTATGGAAAATACCATTACAAAACATAGGTTGCATCCTGAAGTGACTATTGCAAGTTTGAACTATCTGTTTTTGTGTAAAGGAAATAGTTTGATTACTCCCAAAATGAAAAAGCTACAGAAGTCCTCTTTTTATTCTGTCTTTCATAGGGTTTCTGGAGGAGAACTCTTTGAACGAATCATTGATGAAGACTTTGAACTGACAGAGAGAGAATGCATTAAATATATGAAGCAGATTTCAGAAGGAGTTCAGTACATCCATAAGCAGGGTATTGTCCACTTGGATTTGAAGCCAGAAAATATTATGTGTGTCAACAAGACCGGTACAAGTATCAAACTCATTGACTTTGGACTTGCAAGAAGATTAGGTAATGACTTTTCTGCCTATTTCTGTTATATTCTTTCATGTATAAAGAGTAAACAGACATGCTTCATATAAATAGTTCTGGTTTTAGGAAAAATTAGAAAAAGGGAAAATAAGACATTAAAGAGTGAGTAAAACCTCATCTTCAAGAGCAGCTTGCAGTGAAATGTATACAATCTACCTGTCTGTTCCTATGGATAGAGCATCCCTGCAGTCTACAAAGTAAAATACACAGTACTCAGTAATGTTAACAACTACAGGAAACCATAAAACACTCACTCTCTAACTGTAAAAAACAGAACAAAACCTTGATCTTCATGAATACTTCAAATCCTTGAACCTTTTTATAAAAGCAGGAGTGAAGGTGTTCTAAAAGACTTTCAAATATGGATAATTACATTCAATTTACACTTCCCCATTAGTTTCATCATTTCTTATCCTAAACAGCAGCCTATTTTTGTACCTGTTAAACATGGGAGGAATTCATCCTACTTCTTTTGACACTTAACAGGCTACTGCATACCCAAGAATATAATTATACTAAAACAAACCAAAAATGGTATGTTGAATGAATAGGGGGAAGTAAATTTGCTTTTCAGATTTTTAGATTATGTTCAAATCCAAAAGAGTATCACATGAATCTTGGTGGCATGGACACTGTGAACTCAGAGATAAGGTGTTCATTTAATTCATTAAAAAAAGAGACCATTGCCATTTATGTCCCTTCACCAGTATGGAGCCAATAGTTCTCTGGGAACATGAACTGGATGTTGTTCTTGTTGGACAAACAGATGAAATGTGAAGTAAGTTCCAGTGCTGAAATTTTTGTTATCAAAAGTGTGTGAAAGACTTCATCCCATGGCATTCCAGCTGTCAGCCTGAAATATACGCATTTACTGCTGAAGTGAGTGGATTTCACCAACAAGAGATATAATGTAAACACAGAATGGCCTTTTAATAGAAATTTCTTCAACTACCTTTTTAACTTCAAACCACATTTAGCAAAAGGAAGATCCTGTTTTCAGTAGCCTGTTCATCACCATCAGCTTTTCCATTTTTCTGTTAACCTTGTGGCATCACCGTATATTGCACGGCTGACGATTGCTTGTGAGCTGCTACAGTCATGCCCTATGTAGTAAATCTCTAACCTATATATAACTTTTCTTAATGCAGAAGGATGAGAGTTAAGGGCACTGACGTTGATTTTGATTTTGCAGTACTGTACATTTATTTGGCTTAATATGTTGCTAATTCTTGCAAAGTTACATCATAGGTATTTGCCGTTTCTTTCATCAGCCTGCCCTTCTGGGTAACTCAGTGTCCGTGGCATTTCCCTAGGCAGAGAAAGTGCCCTCCCATTCCATGCCCATAATGCAAAAAACCACTGTGTTAATCATGAAGATGTTCATAACATTTTGGCTGAGATGTTTTCCAGAAGTATAAAACAATTTTTACTGTTTCATTTACTTACAAAATTTGCTAAAGACTCTTTTCACTCAGTGCTTTCTTCTTGACAGTTGTCTTATGTGGTGCACTGAGGGCACGTTCCTCCAGTTGTGTTCCTTCAAGCCTTGTGATTTTGAAATTGGCTGTCAAATCACTTTGGCTTTGATAAATGTGGGATTGGAGCCCTCATACTATGGACCTGACCCTGATTGAACAGAAACTGCTCAACCAAGGGTCTGCTGAAGAGAGCAGCGACCCATTTTGCACTTCAGCCTCTGAGATTCAACTTTTGTAACTAGTGCAAACTAATGCCTCTAAAAATTCAGTATTTTGATAAATTTTAAAGAAATTAGGATCAGTTCCTTCTGCAGCCGTCTTCTGCAGCTAATTAGTTCTCTTACATTGTCAGGAAATACCAAAGCTGCAGTGGGATATTTTCCTGACCTTTTTTGGTGTGCTGAGGAACACATGTAGAAAATTGTTTAAGATAAACTTCTTGAGGAGAAAAGAGAATGCGTTTTGAGTACTGTAAAGATTTTTTTTTTTTTTTAATCAGTTGATTATACACAGTGTCAGCAACGGTTTCCAGCTAGCTTGTCAGCTTTCTATCTGAACTAAGGGATATCCAAACACAGAGCCTACTTGTGTACTGAGCTTGTAAACATCTGGGTAAAGATTTGACATATTATTGCATAGAAAAGGTTTTATTATTTTCTTTTTTCTTTTATACACAGAAAATGCTCTATCAGTTGTTTCACACTGTATGCTTGCACTCAAATGCCATGTTTTCAAAAAAACATTGACCCATGGGCAGCACATTTCATACACCAGCCTTTTGCATACACAGTGGCTCATAGTAGTTTACACAGTGCACAGAAAATCCTCCAAACTTGGATGTGAAATCTAAGCCTTAGATTTGGGTGATCATTATGAAGCTTTTAGAAAAACAGGTTCTTTATGGCAAATTTCAGTAATTTTTCATAAGGACAGTTGGAAAAAAATGTAGGTGTTGACCTTACAAAGAAGGCAAATGGGAAGATGGGATATTAAGCTTCCCATTTGTGCTTGGAAAAGGAAGAGTGATATCTCACTCTTAATTTCCACTGTGGAGAAAACATTGCCCTTGTTTTAGGCTAAGTCAATTTAGATTGGATATTAGGATAAGGAATCTGCTTTTGGGGGTAAGAAAACTTTGTTTATGTGAGTGTAGAGATGTTGTGGCATAGCTTTTGAATGTGCTTTTTAAAGGCTAGTCAGACATCTGGCAGAAAGGTCTTAATGCTGGTGAACTTGCATGGGAGTATCTAGGTGATTTCTGGGGACTGACCCCAGAAGTTTTTTCTGTCTTTTTCTGTCTCTAGAAATGGATACTCTCTGCATGGAGGGGGGGGGAGAGGTGTCTCTGACAGCAGGGCTAACCTGAAAATGAGGTTTTTGAAATTTATTTACTGTCACCATAACTAACCAGAGCAAGAAGAGTTTCACAGCATTTAAAATGGGAAACTGGCATTACTGTGAGTGAATTACTGTGGTAGTGCTTAAAAGTTGCCTCACACATGCTGTCCAGTCACCAGGGAAGTTATTAAAGCCCTATGTCCTTCAGTTTTCATTTGGTATGTTGGGTATTTGCATACCTCAAGAGAGAACTAACTTAGGTGTGTGATAACATTTTATGAAATGGCTCAACAGCTTTCAGCTGAGGTGACGGTAGGTGTGGAGTCAGCGTTGGAATCAGCATTTGAGTTGCAAAACTTGGTAGAGGAAGTTCTGGTAAATAAAATGTTCTGTAAAGATTCAGTGTTGTGCACAAGTAGCTTCTATTGTAGGCTTCTCAAAACTTTGGTCTGCTGGTGTTTCAGGTTTTTCAAGCTTTTCTCTTGATTATAGAGTTGCAAATCTCTGTACTTGTAGTAACCTTCTCAGGAGCAGAATTGGAATCTGTTACATCTGGTTTTATTCCCATTCATATCTGTTCTGTTTAGATAGCAATCTCTTTGGGAGAGGCATGGTTCCTCACCGTGTCATTCTGCTGTGCCTAATCTGTGTGCTACTCTTGCACAAAAGATAAATGTAATGCAATGAATCTCACTTAAGGCAAATACAGATTGCTCAGGCACATGTGCAGACTGGACAAGAATTTCTCAACCTAAATCCAAGCCTGTTTCAAGTCAGAAACAATGTATTCCCTGGCATTTTTGTACTTTTAGAATACTAAAAATTTATTAGGATTGGTTTGGGTTATTTTTCACAGTTCCTAATCTATTCCTTAATTTCCTTCCTGACCTTGCTTATTCCTTTTTTCTTCTTCCCATCCTTTTTAGAATGATCATGGATGAAAATGAGCCCATTGAGATTCACCTGATAATTTCTATCTAAATGACTTGTGTTGTGTTTCACACGGTGACTAAGAGTTAGACACATCACTCAGAGTTGAACACTGGCAGCATAAACTGTCAATACTAGGTTCTGAACAGGTTGTTATTCTACATTCATCACTGTATTTTCCAGTAGAGCAATACTGGTAGGTCAGCACAAGAAAGACAAAGAGCGAGATCATGTGTCCTGTGCCCTCATTCTTTCAGCTCATATTGCTAGCAGTAGCTTTGTTGCAGATCATTTTTAGAACATCCACATTGTGCTTAAGCAGAGACAGATGTAGGACACCTGTGCTACAGGCCAGCTGAATAAAAGTTTGAAGTGGCAGATGGTGACTAAGCATTCATGGTCCCATTTCACCACTCTGGTGCTCCACAGGGATGCTTGTAGGCAAGCCTGGTTTTGAGAGCAGGCTTAATACCAGTTTTATTGACAAGGTAGTGATCTGACATCATCTGCTTCTCTTCTTGTTTCACCACTGACCTGTGCCACTTCAGATTTCAGAGATGTGCAACTCAGTATTGATTGCCTTTGTTTTTGTTTAAACTATAAAAAATGTGTTGGATTAAAATAGTTCTTTCTTCTTATTATAATTTTATCACTACTCTTTCTCTTTACCATAAAATGCAGATCTCTGAGCTTCGATAAGATAAATCTTAGGTAATTTGTGAAAACTAACTTCTTTCTAACACTGGAATTCTGAAGTCTGCTTGTGCAACTGCTAAAGTGATGGAGGCTCAAACACTTCTGTGCTCCAGGGCATCCAAATCTGGATTAAACACTAAAAGTTCTCCTCTTTCTTAGACTTAGTCTTGTGGAAACTCCTTGCAGTAGAAACCTTCTTATTATGTGCCTTGTACAGTGCTGTGTCCTTGAGGATGCTTAATAAATAATTCTTTACTGCTATACATATATCAGCTAAGAAAACAGCAGTTCAGGCATAATTCATTTTTTCTGGTAAGGATCTTTAATAAAATCACAAATATGAAAGCAAAACTGGTTTTCCTGTTACTGGGGAATAATTGTTTTTAAAAATCTGCATTAATGGTTTTCTCTTTCATTCTTCACAGAAAATGCAGGTTCTCTGAAAGTTCTCTTTGGTACACCTGAGTTTGTGGCTCCAGAAGTTATAAACTATGAACCTATTGGATATGAAACAGATATGTGGAGTATAGGAGTTATCTGCTACATTTTGTGAGTACCTTTGCTATTCTTAACACAAATCCTGACAGCTGCTGAACATACAGAATTTCTATCAACTTCTGAATTCTTCTATTTTCAGGCCTTTCATATTGCAATTAGCAGCTCCAGCATGTTTAATAAAAATTCTCTGTTCTCTGAAGGGTGCAATTGGTGAACTGCAGAACTAGCAGTTCTGGAAATTCAGCCATTTCGTGTTGCACATCTTGCATCAAAAACCAACACCACTTCATCTCATTTAAAAAGACAATGTGACAGTATTTTATTATTAACTTTAAACTATTTTTTCTTCCCAGATGTTAAAGAGAAATGTTTGGGCATGCACTAATAACTGATAATTTCTATTCTTTTATTCCCAAGAGAGAAAATTTTTGTGAAATTTTTGAGTCTTCTTATTTAGATTGTATCCCTCGTGGGACAGACAGAAGTATCCCAGCATTACTGTGTCTGCTTACAGTGCATTTTAATTTATTACTAAGCACAAACCACTGGATAAATACATTTTGTAAGCAGCATAGATGAAGCTCATGGAAATATTTTAGCTGGGACAGTTAGCTGCAGCTCTTGGTTACATATTTTGGTATTTGATTTGATCCTTTTATATGATTTATAACTTCAATGGGTCTAGAGAAATGTATATGGAAATAGGATCTCCACGCCTAGAACAGCAAGCAGGCTTCTTCCAACTGTGACTTTCCACATTTGATGCTATAAAAACAAATGAACAGCTCAGTTTGGAGCATGGTTCTTTCTCCCTCGCTCCAGTTTCAATAGTAAGTAAACAGCAGATCTGCTTTGCACTCATTCTTTTAAAATGCTTCTCTCAATACCTTACTTTCTTTTTTAAAAGAGAGGCTGCTCTCTTCCTTGACACCTGCCAATGCACAGCTGTTTGTCTCATCTTTATTCAGTCTTTCTGTGATTCTGCTTGCCTTGTCATCCTGTACTTCTTTTCATACTCTTCTCATTTCTAAACTAAGCAACATAATTTTATTTCTTGTCCTGTGCAAAAGCTACATCAACTCTCTTACTCCCAGCAAAGACTCTGAATATTTCTGTTATCTTCTGTTTCTTATGTGAAGCATGCTATACTCTTCAAGGTCACTTTGCTCTGCCAGTTTATTTACAGGGCCTTTATTTTCCATTCATTTCCAGCATTTCTTTCTAGATCTTGAAAGCTCGTTTGGATCATTCTGTAGTTCAAATAATGTAGACCACACACGCAGTACTCAGATGACAAATTCATTTATTTCTCCAGCTTTTGAGGCCTCCTGAGTTTCACAGCCCGG